ACCTCCAATTTTGATGGGAACTTTTTCTGATTTTCCATGATTATTTTTTTGTTTTGTTTTATGCAATTTTTATTTATTTTGTAACTTTGACTTAAATTAGTAGTTAGTGAATGGTGGTTGATAGGTAGTGAAAAACGAGTTACAAATACAATAACAATACTATACTGCTTGAGCACCTTTGCTATTTTAGCATAATAAATATTAACGAATGGAGCAGCGCATAACAAGTCTGTTTATGTGCACTTTTACTGTGATAAAATAACTCCTAAAAAAAAAATTTTTTACACCTTTGGAAATGCTCTTAGGTATGAAGCTTAAAGCAACACATTGGGTATGGAGATCCAAGTTTTGTATTGGGGAGCACCAAAATGATGCTCTTAGGTATGAAGCTTAAAGCAACACATTGGGTATGGAGATCCAAGTTTTGTATTGGGGAGCACCAAAATGATGAAAACATAAAACAAAAAACAAAAAGAAAAACAAAGAATAGTAGTACCTTGGTTTTCTCTCACCTTAGTTAAAAATTATATAAGGCTATGAGTAGCTAAATGCAAGTGAGAAAATTTTGAGCAACACTACATGCATAGAATAAATGCAGAAAATTAGAGCAATAATGCATGCATAGAATAAATACACAAAAGCATTAATGTGTGTTGGATTCATTTTAGAAGTGGTCCCCACCATACAAGATTTGAATACGGACCAACAATTAAATTTTTGCTCAATTTTCAGTGCACATATCTCTTCTGAAAAATTATTATGCAAACATATTCTTTGTAATTTATTTTTGTTTTTTCTCGAGTGTGTATTTTACATGAATGATTACATAGGTCCTTGAACTACTGGTAGAATTTAATAAAAAAATTTATGCCTAGAGCCAAAATATTAATTACCATTTGATCGCCTAGCTAGGCCGATGCAAGTAACTCAAAAGCTCAAATTGGTTTTGTGGTAGTTCAATTTTGAATAAGAACATAAGCTTGCAATTTTCAATCTCTTTTGTAATTCTTACATTACAACTAAATAATTATGGAATAGGAGGTGATCACACCATAACACGGTGCACCCTCCTGTGTCCAATTGATCCTCTTGGAGTGGTGACAAACCTCTCATGTGGGAACTTGTTTGGTAGTTACAGGTTCATTTCAATTTGAATTCTATTGGATAAAACACTTGGAAAAGAGTTGCATCCTATTCTATCACACATAACAACTCTCAAAAAGAGTTGTGTCTCTGACGAATGGGTGTGTGGACATTTAAACGGGATGCCTTGGTGAGTTATTTATATCACAAACAGAAATGCTAGGTGCACGGAATTAGAAGACAGAACAGTGTTCTAGCGTTTATGTATCACAAATTTCCTCTACTCTCCGATGAGTTTCTGCATGCAACATACACCCTTGCGGGGATTGTGGAACCTTTAAAAAATCGAAACACAGATAATTGTGAAGCAAATTTCAAATTATTGCGAAGTAGTTTATGGTTAATGCATGTTTCCAGGCATATATACTACTTCTAACTATATGGCCATTGCATAAGTATAGGGCTCGAGAGGTATGGCTTGATACGATGTACCATACATTTTTTAAACAAAATGTACTATAGACTTACCCCCTTTACAATACTTAGTAACATCAATTTCTAACTTCATGCGACATGGGAGATGTCTCTTCCTCGTGAAGTCAAACAAATAATGTTGTAATATATATATATATATATGTGTATATATATTTGATAGCAAGAAATTGCATATTGGGGTATGAAGAACTCTCTAGAAAACATGTGTTTTTCTAGCTTGTTTAGGTTGCTACTTGTAGCCGGATCGACAAAAAAGAGCTATTATTACATAATTTTAACAAGGCCATCCATACAGATTGTAATCTTGTGCCTTAGTCAATAGGGGCATTTGAGTAATAGACTGAGATCATCAAAACAATCAGGTATTTGTATTCATACACCGAAATACACATACAAGCTTGAAGGCTTCATTTAGTTTGTGATAAATCGATTGAATCAATCTCTATTCATTATTCAACCCAACCATTTGAATAAATTTAGGCTCAAAGCTTGAGAACCTTTTTAAAAGAGCAAGATAAGCATATCTCAAACACAAGAGATGAACTTTTATGCTGTGTTTGGTCGGGAGATTTGGAAAGGGAAAGGGAAGAGGAAGGTGAAATATGAATAAAAATATATTTACATTTCACCTAGTTTCAACACCTTTTCCCTTTCCGTTTCCAAATTTCTTTCCAAATCCCTTAGCCAAACACAACATAAAAAGGGAAAATATAAATTGTGTAAGCAAATGTTTAAATCACTTAATCTCAAGGGGTTTGGCTTAGTGGATGAAGAAAGCAACCAAAGGGCTTACCACCCAACAAGTCACAAGTTCAAAACCCACGAAGGCCAAACATCCAAACCTTGAGGCCATTGGAGGTTTGCCCAGTTTTTAACTTCAAGGCCTCGGGATTTAGGCTAAGTTTGGCATCTTCAAAAAAAGTCAAAAAGTCACTATCATATTTAAGTCACATCATCTTATTTAAATCACATCATCTCTCTACCGCATCACTTTAAACCCAATTCATATTTCATAAAAAGTCAAAAAGTGCACGTATTTAGAATATTCCAAATAACCCCTTAGTCGAGGTGTGCATAAACTGGCCTGGACACTTGGATATTAAAAAAAAAAAAAAATGTTTAAATCACTTTATTTCTCATGCACACTCTTTTCTTTTATAGATAAATTGCCTGGTCCATTAATTCATCAGGTGCACCTAACAAATCAACATGTGAATTTGACTTACCAGCTAATTTTAGTTTTAAGAAGATGAAACACTAATATTGACAGTAGTGAACTAAAAACAATTTGAGAGGAAAGTTACTAATCTTGCAGGTTTTGATTGGATGTGATGGAGCAAATTCGGTGGTAGTTGACTTCCTCGAGTTAAAACCCCCAAAAGCATTTCCCTTGTCTGCTGTGAGAGGTTTGACGAAGTATCCAAGTGGTCATGCATTTGCCCATGAATTTGTCCGAATGAGGAGGAACAACATTATGGTAGGAAGAGTTCCAATTGATGATAAGTCAGTCAACTGGATGGTGGGTCAACAAACCACTCCTAAAGGTAATAGTATATTCTAAGACATTTGATTTAATTTGCTAGTTGCTTTCTCTGTGTGATTATAAATAGCATAGGATGTGCACATGTGCACAAGTCAGTCTACTGGCAGTATACTCTATCTTTTTTTGTTTTTATGTTGTTTACCTGCACATGAACAGATGCCAGGACTTTACAAAATCCAGACCTTATTATACAGTCAACCCTACCCTTAATCTATGGTTTCCCACCTGAAATTCAACAAATGATCGAAGACAGTGACGTAGAATCATTGTCTCTCACGCACGTGAGATATCGTGCCCCATGGGACTTGCTATTGGGAAAATTTTGAAAAGGAACAGTAATAGTAGCTGGGGATGCAATGCATGTTATGGGTCCATTCCTTGGACAAGGTGGTTCGGCAGGTTTGGAAGATGCTATTGTTCTCGCTAGATGTTTGTATCAGAAACTTAGTGACGTCCGTCAAATCCAAAGCCGAAGTCAGATGATGATGCATAAAGTTGCAGAAGCAATGGATCAGTATGTGAAAGAGCGGAGGATGAGGGTCGTGCGATTGTCGATGCAAACTTATCTTACTGGTTTGCTAGTGGGACCTTCATCAATGTTGGTGAAATTGGCTAGTATTGTTTTGATGGTTATTTTCTTTCGTAACCAAAATGATCATACTACGTATGATTGTGGTCTCTTGTGATGTAGAAACTGTGCTATATAAGTTGTTTTTGTTGTTGTTTCTATTGCTGTTACTCTACTACAGTCCTTATTTATGTATGTATTGTGAAATCATTGTTCTACATTTAATTAAGTATTTCTGCAAATGTTTTGCTATATTTAGGTGTCGTTTGACAAACTTAACTTTTTAGTTTTTTTAACTTTTTTAGCCTGAGACTTTTTTGTTCGTTTGGTTTTTTTGCATTGGAATGACAAAATTGCCCTCCACTTGAAAATGATGCTTTTTTGACTTTTTATTTGTATATGGGTCAATTTGGTAATTTTGCATTAAAAGCGTCATTTTGTGATTTTGTAGCTTTTTTTTAGACTTTTTTGTTCGTTTGGTTTTTTTGTTTGGCTTTTTTGCATTGGAATGACAAAATTGCCCTCTACTTGAAAATGATGCTTTTTTGACTTTTTATTTGTATATGGGTCAATTTGGTAATTTTGCATTAAAAGCGTCATTTTGTGATTTTGTAGCTTTTTTTTGGTCCATATGTGTTTATTTAGTCCCAACTCAAAAACCAAACCGGGGCTTAGATGTTTTCTTGACATGAGTTGAGACTTAAATTTCTCGAGACTTTTGTATGGTTAAAGTCATTTCCCTCAAAATGTGTCGTATTCTAATTTTTAAATTGTTTTATTCAGTTGGTTTTTCATTGTTTTTATGGGGTTTTTATTTTTTGTGTTCTAATTTTCTAATTGTATTATTAAGTTTTTTTTTTAACGTTCATTTTAGTGTGTTTTTGTATTTTTTTAGTGTGTTCATTCAGTTGGTTTTATTATTTTTTATTTTTTTGTATTCTAATTTTTAAATTATTTAATTTAGCTGGTATTTTGTTGTTTTTATGGGTTTTTTTTTTCTCTCTCTCTCTCTCTCTCCATATTTTAGTTATTTTATGGTTTTTTATTCTAATTTATAATTATTTAATTCAGTTATTTTTATAAAAATTTTAGTTTAGTGTGTTTTTGTATTTTTTTTTAGTGTGCTCATTCAGTTGGTTTTATTATTTTTTATTTTTTTGTATTCTAATTTTTAAATTATTTAATTTAGCTGGTATTTTGTTGTTTTTATGGGTTTTTTTTTTCTCTCTCTCTCTCTCTCTCCATATTTTAGTTATTTTATGGTTTTTTATTCTAATTTTTAATTATTTCAAAAAGTCATTATTCTATTTAAGTCACATCATCTTATTTAAATCGCATCATCTCTTTACCACATCACTTTAAACCCAATTCATATTTCATAAAAAGTCAAAAAGTGCACGTATTTAGAATATCCCAAATAACCCCTTAGTCGAGGTGTGCATAACCTGGCCTGGACACTTGGATATAAAAAAAAAAAGTTTAAATCACTTTATTTCTCATGCACACTCTTTTCTTTTATAGATAAATTGCCTGGTCCATTAATTCATCAGGTGCACCTAACAAATCAACATGTGAATTTGACTTACCAGCTAATTTTAGTTTTAAGAAGATGAAACACTAATATTGACAGTAGTGAACTAAAAACAATTTGAGAGGAAAGTACTAATCTTGCAGGTTTTGATTGGATGTGATGGAGCAAATTCGGTGGTAGCTGACTTCCTCGAGTTAAAAGCCCCAAAAGCATTTCCCCTGTCTGCTGTGAGAGGTTTGACGAAGTATCCAAGTGGTCATGCATTTGCCCATGAATTTGTCCGAATGAGAAGGAACAACATTATGGTAGGAAGAGTTCCAATTGATGATAAGTCAGTCAACTGGATGGTGGGTCAACAATCCACTCCTAAAGGTAATAGTATATTCTAAGACATTTGATTTAATTTGCTAGTTGCTTTCTCTGTGTGATTATAAATAGCATAGGATGTGCACATGTGCACAAGTCAGTCTATTGGCGGTATACTCTTTTTTTGTTTTTTGTTTTTATGTTGTTTACCTGCACATGAACAGATGCCAGGACTTTACAAAATCCAGACCTTATTATACAGTCAACCCTACCCTTAATCTATGGTTTCCCACCTGAAATTCAACAAATGATCGAAGACAGTGACGTAGAATCATTGTCTCTCACGCACGTGAGATATCGTGCTCCATGGGACTTGCTATTGGGAAAATTTCGAAAAGGAACAGTAACAGTAGCTGGGGATGCAATGCATGTTATGGGTCCATTCCTTGGACAAGGTGGTTCGGCAGGTTTGGAAGATGCTATTGTTCTCGCTAGATGTTTGTATCAGAAACTTAGTGAAGTCCGTCAAATCCAAAGCCGAAGTCAGATGATGATGCATAAAGTTGCAGAAGCAATGGATCAGTATGTGAAAGAGCGGAGGATGAGGGTGGTGCGATTGTCGATGCAAACTTATCTCACTGGTTTGCTAGTGGGACCTTCATCAATGTTGGTGAAATTGGCTAGTATTGTTTTGATGGTTATTTTCTTTCGTAACCAAAATGATCATACTACGTATGATTGTGGTCTCTTGTGATGTAGAAACTGTGCTATATAAGTTGTTTTTGTTGTTGTTTCTATTGCTGTTACTCTACTACAGTCCTTATTTATGTATGTATTGTGAAATCATTGTTCTACATTTAATTAAGTATTTCTGCAAATGTTTTGCTATATTTAGGTGTCGTTTGACAAACTTGGCTTTTTGGTTTTTTTAACTTTTTTAGCCTGAGACTTTTTTGTTCGTTTGGTTTTTTTGTTTGGCTTTTTTGCATTGGAATGACAAAATTGCCCTCCACTTGAAAATGATGTTTTTTTGACTTTTTATTTGTATATGGGTCAATTTGATAATTTTGCATTAAAAGCGTCATTTTGTGATTTTGTAGCTTTTTTTTGGTCCATATGTGTTTATTTAGTCCCAACTCAAAAACCAAACCGGGGCTTAGATGTTTTCTTGACATGAGTTGAGACCTAAATTTCTCGAGACTTTTGTATGGTTAAAGTCATTTCCCTCAAAATGTGTCGTATTCTAATTTTTAAATTGTTTTATTCAGTTGGTTTTTCATTGTTTTTATGGGGTTTTTATTTTTTGTGTTCTAATTTTTCTAATTGTATTATTAAGTTTTTTTTTTTTAACGTTCATTTTAGTGTGTTTTTGTATTTTTTTAGTGTGTTCATTCAGTTGGTTTTATTATTTTTTATTTTTTTGTATTCTAATTTTTAAATTATTTAATTTAGCTGGTATTTTGTTGTTTTTATGGGTTTTTTTTTTCTCTCTCTCTCTCTCTCTCCATATTTTAGTTATTTTATGGTTTTTTATTCTAATTTTTAATTATTTAATTCAGTTATTTTTATAAAAATTTTAGGTTCTTTAGTCGAAACAAATTAGCAAAGTAAAAATATTTGACAAAATTTTGAATTTTTTCTAATTAAAGACAAAAATAAATAGAACTAACCAAACTATAGGGGGAAAAAAAACTCTTCAGAGCAATCTTTAGCTTCCAATTGTGCGAATAACCTGAGAAATTAGGGTTTTTCACTTTAAGGAATTCATTTTGGGAATGGCTTCTGTCCAGTCCTTAATCGGACTGGACCGTACTGTTGGGCCTATGGAGGCTTACCACGAGTGCCGTTTTGATAATCTGAACCGTTCAATGTGTAGAACTTGTCGAGCACTATACGCCTGTAAAAAATCACGTTGATCAGATATCGATAGTTATGTGATCAAAACAGATTTTTGTTAACTGTTAATTTATTCACTGTCTATTTTTTTTTATACAAAATTGATTTGATCACATAGCTATCGATATCCGATTAACGTGATTATTTACAAGCGTATAGTACTCGATAAGTTCTACACATTGAACGGTTCAGATTATCAAAACGGGATCCGTGGTGAGCCCCACGGGCCCAACAACATAGTCCAGTCTGATTAAGGACTGGACAGAAACCATGCCCATTTTGTTTTATTTGTGTAACTTTTATTATAAAAGTTATAACTTCTGAGAAATTAGGATTTTTCACTCTAAGGATTTTTTTTTTTAATTTTTTCAACTTCTGAGAAATTAGGATTTTTCACTCTAAGAATTTTTTTTTTTATTTGTGTAACTTTTATTATAAAAGTTATGACTTCCTTTTTGATACGTATTTTTCAATTGCAAATTGACAATTGCAATTGGACAAATTACATTAACGGTTTCTGTAATTTGAGACTTGAATAACTTTGATCCCTAAATTTTTAATTGTAATATATTTGATCATAAATTCTGAATCTCGTTTCAAATAAGGATAATTGAAAACACTATTGCTTCATGTTAAGGACAAAGTCATCAATTTAATAAAATATAAATTAGTTTGACAAAAATAAATATCAAAAAATTATTTATGAATTTTTAAAAATTATTTCTGCCCCCCAAAGATAAAATTATATAAAAATGATAAATATTTAATTTTTTTACCAAATTAATTTTTAGTATGTGTTTGTGTGATGATCATGTAATAGGTAGTTATTTTTATTGATATTTTTGGATGGTTTTATATTTGTTGTTAACAAATATTTTTGGATGGTTATCATGGGTGGTTATTAGGGTTTGAATATGTAATCGATATATTTAATATATAAAATATTTTTAATTTTGAGTTTTTTGATTTAATGGATTGATTTGATAAGGACATCAAAGTTTTGGCCGTGTTTTGACTTTTGAAAAATATGAGCTAATTTAACGAAAATAAATATTGGAAAAAAATTATTTCTACTATCCCAAAAGATAAAATTATATAAAAATGATGTGTTTTAATTTTTTTCACTAATTTAATTTTTAGTTTCCTAAAAAAAATTCTAAAAATCAAACTAAACAGAACTTTATAATTAAGAAAGTTCTAACATTATTCATTAAAAAAAAAATTGTCATTACATTTCAAACACACATACAAGTTAACCTACACAAACTAAGTTGTATGACGATTTTGTCCTTAAAAAGGACCATTTACAAAAGAAAGATCTTTGATTGTTCTTTGGAACAAAATTCAAAATTTATGTTCAAATGTATCACAATTGAAAAGTTAGTGACTAAAGTGACACAAATCTCAAACTATAAGGACTGTTAATGTAATTCGTCCTTAAATAATTAAAAAAAGATGAAGGATGCCCTGGGCTGAAGTTAACCTTAGAAAATTATTAAACCAAATCAAACCAAGTCTTATGAGTGTCATCAAATGAGTTCGGCTACATAAATCATTCTTCTCTATTTAGCTTTATCTTAGTCAAATTAAAAAAATTTATATCTCTATTCACTTATAAACTATCCGACATCAATCTAAGTCTACCCTTTCCCTTAGTATTTTCATTTACTGTAATTGTATTGTCTCTCTTCACTATTGTCTCCGTTTATATGACCAAACCATCTTAATATATTCTTTCTCAACTTATGTTTAATCGGCGTTACTTCTATCCATTCATAAATATATTCATTACTAACTCTACCATTTTAAAAAAATTATTGACAGTCATAAAATATTATATGATATTGTTAATATATAAAAAGCATGAAATACATTAAGTTATTTTGTGCCTCCAAATTATTATTGTCAATTAAATTTTTCGTCAAATTAACTTCCTTATTTATTTATTTTTATTTTGTTGGTGTACATCGAATTAAGTTAGGTCATCAATTAAGAACACAATGGCCTCTTTTGACAACCGAGTTAAAAGTTAACTTTTTAATTTTTTTAGTTTTTTTTTTGAGTCACATTATATTTTTATTTTTTTAAATATTTTTTCAAAAAAAATTAAAAAATTAACTTTTAACTTATTTTTTCCAAAATAGGCCAATTTAATGCTATTACACAGATAATATTCGTGTCTATTGAATAAAAGGATAATAACATTATTTTATATATAGATAGTGATATTAAAAATAAAAAGTAACAAAAATAATAATAATAAACGGATGATATATAGTATTTTATTTTAGGGTAAATTACACTTTTCTATTTTTATGTTTGATCATTTTTTTACTTTGACCCTTAAAGTTTTTTTTTTTCTTTCTTATTCACTTTGGCCGTTCATATTTTAATTTTTTTTCAATTTACTAAAGTTAATTTCTGTCCCAAAAACAAAAAGAAAAAGAAAATGCCATAATAATTGTCATATAATATAAAAAAATATATTATTATATTGAAGTAAGTTTATATTAGAGATGTGAGTTATATATAATAAAATATTTTTATGCCACACTGCTGTTAATGTGTCATTTTCTGTTTAATTTTTAACAGAAATTAGTTAGGTGTAAACTGGGAAAAAAAATTTTAAATATGAAGGGCTAAACTAAGAAAAAATAATTTTAAGGGCCAAAGTAAGAAAATGACCAAACATAAAGGCACAAAATGTAAGTCATCATTTATTTTATTGAATAATTGCCTGTTAAAGGTAGTTTCCTGGTGTACAATGCACATTGTATACAATTCTATACAAAATTACGTAAATTTTCATGAATTTACATAAATTATTTTACAAAAATACATAAGTTAAATACAAATTTGCATAAGTTTGTGAAACTTATGTGATTACAATAATTTGTATTTAACTTATACATTTTTGTGATATCATTTATAATTTTATTTAGAGTCACATATTGTATACATTACATACTGAAAAAATTTTCTACTTTCGTTAGAATATCTCTAATCCTTTATAGAATTTAAATTTGACGAAATTTTAGTGAAAATGAGATCCAATCCTTTCATTAAACTTGTATCAAGTTAAGGGAGAAGCAAATTTTTTATTAAATTAAGGATGAACCAAATTTTTCACCAGATTTTTAATAAGTATTTTTTCACTTAAATTTGATGAACACAAAAAATGAAGGATTGGAGTTGGGTTTTTTTGTCAAAATTAATGAAAAATGAAATTTAGAATGAGAATGTAGTTTTTTAAAAAGATTTTGATAAAAATTTGATGAAAGAATTGAAATAATTAATATAAAAAGAATTTTTTATTCAAATTTAAAATTAAATAAAATAAAAAATTTAATAAATGATTGAAAATAGTGTTAGGCCTAACTTATCGTTAAAGTTATTTTGTGATGTGAAAGTTGTGGTTGAAGTCCTTTACGAAAAGATGTACAGAAAAGTAGAGAGGTGATGTGATGGAAAAAAAATAAAAAGATAAAAAGATAGATTATTTTAGAGTTGCCAAACTTAACCTTAGTGTCTAGAAATAAAAAAAATAAGATAATAAATGAAATTATGTATAACATTGCTCAATATTATATTTATATTTTAATTCTTTGACCATTAGAAAATAAGTCACCAATATAATAAACTTTTTTACAATGAATTAGAGAGGGAGACATTTACAATGAATTTTTTTTATAAGTCGTGCTATAGGTCTCGAATATTGAGGCGTGAATTTGCCTCAAATTTGTTTAATTGGTCGTTCAGCCGATCGTCCGGCAAAGAGGCTGATAGTCACAGTCATCAAGGTGACAATCGCGGTAGACAAGTGTTTTACGTGATCATTCGACTAGTTGTCCGGTAAATACCCATTCGGGCCATTCGAGCCCCTCTCTTTTCGAGCTACAAGGCATTTTTCATATTGCTACCATAAGGAGCTTTCTCTTTGGAAAAAACTTAAATTATGAAATGTTAACACCATTAGGAGCTT